CTAAGGTTACAGAGAGAAAGCAAGCAGAGGTACTAAGTGGTTCACCCACGATGTCTCCAGGCGTCAGCAAAATGGTGCACAGGAGTGCAAAGTCTCCTGAGCTGCAAACGTCAGATAACACTGTCAATCCAAAATGAGCAACAGGACTGTATGTCCCATACTTCTCCTGAAATGCACAGACTATTTGTCTCCCCCTCTTTTGAAAGTATGAATATCCTCTAATCAGAACTGCAGCACTGACAGTCTAACGCCACGATTCAGTGACACTAACAATCACCTAACAGCTTGGAAAGACTTTTTTTTTCCCCAAAAAGAATACAGTATCAACAGGAAGGAAAAAAAAAAAACAAAACACCACAGACTACATATCTGAGCACAAATATCCTAGTACAGAATTCAAAGCCCAGAGTAATGTGTGGAGCTGGTGCTGTTTCCTCACTAGGGAGGCACAAGCAGCTCTGTTTGTCATTCCTTGACACTGAAAACAAACTGAGCACTTATTATTTTGAACAGACTTTGGTGTTTGCATCCCCCTCCTGCACCATGCGTATCACCTCAGGGGTAAATCAAGGCTCTTGACAACACACAAGTTACAGATTAGATCCACCCATCGATAGTAACGTGAAATAATGCCTGGGGACTTCTCCCTGAATTCATTAATCCCTCATGCAGGAAGGGGATATTAGCAATCAGGTCAAATCACTCAGTTAAAAAAATAACAAGAATAAAGATCACACTAGACAGAGCGATGTCACGCCCACCTTGTGTTCCAGCCTCCTCCCCGATGCCAACAGCAGCGGTTTCAGCTGGCAAGGGAGCTGCTCTAACTCATCTCTTATGTGCATCACCGTTGTATCCAGCGCAGTTAGGGAGAGCCTTTACGTTCAGCAGCAGCCCAAGCACGATCAGATTCAGTTTAATGTGATAACAATTCCGGACGTAGTTACGCTACACCAAGGGGCAGATCTAACAGCTGGCTGTTGCAGTGAGGGGTTGCTGCCATTTCTCCCACGCTCTGACACTACCACTGCTCCAGCACAAACCCAGCCGCATGGGGAGATGATTTGCAGCCCTAATCCTACAGAAAGCGAAACCAGGAAAATGGAGTACACTGGGTTTGGCTGGGCTCTGAAGTACATCAGCCCGTGGCACAGTCCTGCAGGCACACAAACCAAAGGGAGCAGACAGCAAGCACAGCTAAGCCACTCTGATCCCACATTCACCCAGCATCACCAACGCCTGCTCCCCCGGCGGGCAGAACCGCGTTAATCTTCTCACAGACCATCAATGGGCTTGGGAACTACTTTTTAGAATGCTTCCAGCTCTCTACAGGTATTCAGGGAAAATTTCAGCAACAAGCGAGAAGTCAGCAACACATGATCATCAGTGCTGCCAGAATCTGGGATTTCAGACTGAGCTACCAAATCCGGGGAGAAATGACCCAACAGCAGAGCACCACCACGAGCTGCCACCATGTTTTGCTGACATGAGGAAGACACCCAGTAACTGGCTCCAGAGAAGAAAGCAAGCACTTCAGAGAAAAGCTCTGCAACACAAGCGTGTGGGAGAGATGTTCTCCAAGAAGCTGCTCCGCCAGGGAAAACTGAAGTCATGAAGATGTATTATGAGGGCTCACCTGAAACCTGACCAACAGGGAAGGCAAAAGACTGATGCTGTACCACTGCAGGCCCAATGCTTGTCAGATTGTGGATGCTTAGGTAAGGGAGAGCAAAACCAAGCTGCTGATCACATCACCCTTGCCAAAAAACCAAACAAAAGCCCAGCATGTTGATCCAGGGTTCAGAAAAAAAATAATTATTGGTGACACTTTATTTTGAAAGTTCTTCCATAAAAGAACCAGATGAATCTCGGAGAAACCTCCTTCATGGACCAGGTACAGAAGGAATTTGGGTTCCTTAACATATCCAGGGAGACACTGAAACACAACTCCCGTGGCCTGCGATAAGGATGTCAAGAGCTGGGTATCACTGAAGACAGGTCGCATTGTAATGTGACAATTGCCCAGTTCTGACTCGCAGCCGGAACAGGCTCGGGTTGGGGTTACTTTGCAACCTGGCACGCAGAGGACAGCATCCAAACGAACAGATCAGAACAGCTGCCTGCTCAATCCGCTTCAACTACACCAACGGGGAAAAGAGTATGGGACCACAACGGGCTTTCTGCCACCCACACGCATGGTGGCCAGCCACGGTACCTTCCATTACAAAGAATAAGAAAAGCCCCCAGGCTGCTGTTTCGCACATATACTGGGGCAAAACTCTTGGACAATTACAGGGGAATATGCAGGAAATACTCTGATTTATGAACTCTATTTGTCCATGAATTACCTTCAATGTATCGGCCAGGCGAGAATGAAAATGGTCTCAGCCTAACAAAGAACTACACGCCAGCTTGCTGTAATTATACAGCAATGGGATATTTCTACCTACTCATACAGCAAGCACGACTGTATTCAGACTTTGACCTGTTCAAGAAACTGGAAAAGTGACTAAGATGTTGGCACTCTGCAGTTCTATTCCATTCCCCATCGCTGGGACACATGGAGGGAGGAGTAACAACACAATTCTCAAATGCACTATTAAATTCACTTAATAAATGAGAAATTAAAATTTAAAAAAAAACAACACCCCACAACAAAACTCTCCAGCGTCAGCCTGTACTATTTGGCCTCTAGTTGCTTCCCCTTCCAAAAACAATACGCTGAGAAATTGTGTGATAACTAACAGGCAGAGGTAGGAAGTACATTCCTTTTAAATGCCCAAAACAAACAAAAAAAAGCAATTACCTAATAACAGAGCCATTTTCTCACATTCTGAGGTGACTCCTCAGCAAAGACTAAATATTTAATCCATTCTAGAGCACAGAAGAATAGGATCTCTAAATAACAAAGCCTACTTCTGGCTTGCAGATCCGACTCTGAATTACCAGCTGAGACACAAGGTGTTCTTCACCGCTGACAATGCCATATTCACCAGAACCCTCTGACGCACCACCAGCGACTCAGGCTTGATGGATGACCCTCGGCCCATGCTTAGCCCAAATTCGAGAGCTGAAAGGATCTTACCTCACATGAAGCCATGCCTCACTCCTAGTTTTTAAAGAAACAACCCAAAATTGCAAAACTGGATTTGCAGAGTGTTTCCTTCCCTGCCAGACTGGATTTCTTGGCATCTTCCTCCAAAGGGTGGCCGAGTTCTCTTGCTGCTGAGAACTGGTATCTGGGGAGGAACCATATCACTGGTAGTCACAGCCCTGTGATGGCACAGAGTATAACCTAATACTGCCCCCAAAAGAGTTGATTTTCATACCCAATTCCTATCAATCCAGAACCACATGTCCATGCCACAGCTCTGAGATCACAAAGGAATATTAAAAGCCTGTCTCGGGCACCGGGCAAGTCAGGGTGGGGTTATCAAAGACGCCAATTAACTAACTTAAGTTCCTCAAAGCCACCGAGTGCTCTAGCTTGACTCGATTGTGAAAGTTCATTATAATTCCAAGCAAAACTGAAAGAAAGAAAAAAACAAAACAAAACACCCCCCCAAAAGCTCCCCAAAACCAAACAACTCCCAGCTGCAGCAGCTCAGCCTTCTATTAAACCCAACAAATCTGACAAGACAGTGCCAGGTACAACAGGAGCACAAATAAAGTGGCCCATAGTTTTGTTCAACGAAGACAGAGGAGCACCAGACTGATTTCCACAGTTCTATCTTCCCTCAAATTCTCTTCCCTGGAGAAGCAACAAAGCATCATCCCTGGAGAAACAACGACAAGCTATTAAATCCAACACTCACCAAGATACAAGCCCCCGCAGTAATAAATTCAAGTCAGTGAAGAATGTTCACAGGGAAGAAGAAAGCCCTGTGGCTCCATAATATCCATTTCATACGGAATTAGCCTAGACATGTTTCACTAGGGAGGGATGGAGGGAGACACAGAAGGTTCCACCTGGCAGTTCAGTTTGGATACACAAAACCAATATTACTTTTTTGGGTTTTTTTTTTTTAAACCATCATCTAGAGACTCTGACCGAGGCTGCTTTCAAGAATACACAGTAATAAAAAACACATGGGACTTCTTGCCTGAACAAGAACAAACTTAAAAATTGGTAAAACTGACAAGGCTTCTGCCAAAGAAGTGAGATCACCAGAGAAGGAGAATGACCGACGGCCAGCCTCCATCCCTGCAGACACTCAGAACTCGGCTGGACACATCCCTGATCATCCCGCCCCAGTCTGGCCCTGCTCTGAGCTGGGGATCACCCACACGGCATCCAGAGCTTCAGTCCAGCCTCAACTCTTCTGTGAAACTATGAGACGGCAAATTTAATCAGTCTCTGAGAAAGACTCTTTCTTAGAGCAAACCAGAGGTCAAGATCACGTAAGTCTCAGTAACAAGCAAGAAGCAGCCCAGCCCTGACTGAGCCGGCAGAGCAACTCTCTTCTTCACAGGTTCAGCTCCAAAATCCCACCATCTAGGCCAAGGAAGCGAAACCTGAAGATACTAATACCAATATAACACTGCCATTTTTTAAGCTGGCCTCTGATCAGAGTTGATTTTCCATATTTGTATCCAAGGCTAATAAGAAAATGAGTCAAATGAGGAAAGCTAACAAGACATTGCTTCACAAGCTGAAGGCTTAGAACTTGCCTTCATAAATAGTTTTTTTAAAGTAACTTTTACGACCTCTACATGTTCAAGTAGAAGCTATACACACAAGACAGACTTACGACAAGACTCTCAGGACTTTTTTTTGTTCATCTGAAACGAAACCTCCAATATCGCCAAACACTGAGGAGAAGGGCCTCCCACTGTCAACCCACCACACAAACTGGGAGGACGAGGCCAACCCCAG